TTTCTACTCCTGTAAAGATTTACACCCTTGGAAACCCTGTACAGGGTCGCTATGGGTCGGAACCGACTCAACGGCACTTAACAACAACAACAACAACCATTTAATATGCTTTCGTCAAATACAAGGCACCACGTCAAGTGATTTACATGCATGATCTTGTGTAATCCAGATGAACATTCATAAATCATGAATTATTGTTTACATTGCATCAGTAAGAGATAAGTGACTTGCCCAGGGTTACCTTTTTAGTAAAGGAGCTCTGGTAGCATAGTGGTTACGAATTGGGCTGCTAACTTTGAAACTACCAGCTGTTCCACAGGAGAAAGATGAGGCTTTCTGTTCCTGTAAAGATTTACAATCTTGGAAACCCTATACAGGGTCGCTAAGAGTCAGAACTGACTCCACAGCACGTAACCACCACGACCATCTTTCTGGTAAGTGGTACTTTGTGTACACAAAATCAAGACTGTCTGTTTCTAGAGTCTGTGGTCTTTCTATTAAATTATACTGGGACTGAGTGATCCCCATGCTTGTAAGGTGTCTTTACTGCAGGAGAATCCATGGGAATCAGAGAAAGAAAAAAGGAAGACTCTGGTCTAGGCTTTTAAATGAAACGAGTCAAGTGGGTCTTTAATGTTTTGAAATCATTAAGACAACTCACCAAGATTAAAAGAGATCATATAAAAGAGTCCCTGAGCAGGAACAAAGAGTGAAATAACAACAAAAACATATATACACATTTGGCTGGAAATATCTGGATTTATTATTTGAGAACTTAACAAAGCCTCAGCGATAGAGGGAGGGGACAGTACAAAGCAACAGAAACCAAAGGAAACTTTAATATCTGGAATGGAAGATGAGCTGGAATCCTAAAGTCTGAGAGCTGCAATCAAAGACCCATCTTCTCTACTGAATTGAATTAGCTTCATTGTATAGCATATTTCAATGTTTAAAAAGTCCATTACAGAGTAGAAAATAAGCTTTACCACTTAAATTAAGCTTAAATTAATATAAGAAACAGAAGAATTCTTAGGACTAAGCAACGCATAAATTGCCTATAAACAAGACAAGCAGAGGGACCCAGAGGACTAGCAAAGTCTGTAGGTCATCACATTCCATCAGGAGCACCCAGATGAAACTAGATGAAAATGCACTTCACCAGTACTCAAAAACAACTGCTGAGACTACTGAACCAGAAACACAGCAAGGTAAGCAGTATGGATATTTCTCTAAGTATTGATATAGCACTCTGTTTTTCAATATTGAAGCCTATTTGAAATAACATAGAAGTCTTGAAACCTAGTCATAAGACATTAACAGCATAAAGTAACAAAACAGTTTTGTTATAGGAGGACCATGTGAGATGTTGCTTGTAGTTATTCCTTTCTCTGAAGACACTAGGCAAGGATGCAAATGAACAAATTTCGAATAGAATTAAGTCAGAAGGGAAGAGGAACAGATAAAACATAAGTTTTAGAAAGAATTAAAGATGAATGGACACTTTGTGTTCTATGTGGGTTGTTGTTGTTTTATTAAGAGTTGTCGAGTCGGTTCTGACTCATATACACCTTGCATAGGGTTTCCGAGAAGCAGCTGATGAGTTTTGAACCACTGACCTTGAGGTTCAAACTAATGTTGTGGTCCAGTGTTTATTCTACAGCGCCACACCACGACTCCTGCATGTGGAATGATAGTAACACTTCCTTTTATGTCTTTAGCATTAACATACTAATGCTTTAGCATTAACATACACAAATTGAAAGAATTAATGTGGGATCTAACCTTAATTAATGTATAATATTTCCATCCTTCAAAAGGTATATTGCATTTCATTATCACTGGTTATTTGATGTTCATCTACCAATAGATTGTTTCTTTCTTGAAGGAAAGCAAGGAATATTATGTACTTTTTCTCTAACTGCCTCAAGGCTTCCCAAGTGAGCATTTGATACATATTGATGAATGACTTTGATATTCTGCTTTTGGTCAGAAATCCTCTTAATTTTTATTTTCTTTCTTAAATTAAAGGCCATGGTTTTAGTTGAATTAAAGAAGGCTCTGAAGGAAGTAACAACTGTTGTCTTCTCTAGGAAGTCTTCTGACATTGCCTATACTCTTCTTCCACATTCCCAAAAAGTGCCCCTTGCTTGATAGCAGGACCCAATACGGATAGTGAGGAAAAATGACAGCAAGGAGAAGCAAAAAAAATCTGAGAAGACTCATGATTAAGTACCAGAGATGCAAACAGAACCACCAACTTTTTTTCTTTCTTTTAAAAATTTTATTATGGAAAAGTCTGGACATGCACAAATGATAACATAATAAACTCCATGCAGCCATAACCCAGTTTCAAAATCAGCAACACAGGTCTCTATAACTCTACCAACTCCTCCTTATAGAGCAAAGCTCAGACTGTACCATTAACTTTTCCAGTGTGTATCTCTAAAAAGGCAAGAACTCCCTTTTTTGAAATGTAAGCATATGCTTCCCAAATCAACAATATTTAAACAGGACTATCTTTGACTTTGAAATAGACACAGTGTTAAAGAACAAAATGGGAAGGATGACACTACCGACGTCAAGACTTAATATAAATAAGGCTATCATAACCAAGACAGTATGATGTTGGTGAAAGAATCTACAAATAGATCAGTGGTACAGAATGTTGTTGTTGTTATGTGCCGTCGAGTCGGTTCCAACCCATAGTGACCCTATACAGGGTTTCTGAGGAACAGCTGATGAGCTAGAACCGCTGACCTTGCAGTTCAAACAGACCTTGCTGTCCAGCACAGAAAATCTCTTTGTCCTGATTCTCAACAAAGTTCCTACTAAGTATCCTATGAACCAGTAACTTCAAAGGTAGTCTTAAGAGTACATACTTATTTCTGACACACGAGGGCAAAAAATTTATGCTCAACACATGGATGTTTCTAGCTTTTTTCCCGCAATACAAGCGAATCTCAGAAATCCTACTTTGCAATTGTTACAGTCTTCTCTCTGTGAAAGGTTAGAGTGCCTCCATTTCAACATCTAGTATCTCCTAATCATAAGACCTCAGTACAAGACTAAAAAAATAAGCCATGTTCTCTGATCCTATTCACATGGCCAAGCTAGTTTTCTGTTGCTCATTCACTGTTCCATTTTACTCTGGATTAATCATATAAAAATACTTAGTGATGGCTCCTCGGAAACTCTATACAGGGGCACTATGAGTCGAAACCTACTCACCAGCACTTAACAACAAACAACAGTGATAGCTGGCGATGAGAAAGGTACTAATATAATAGAAATTGGTATATAAATAACGAAGAGTGATTTTAATTTTCAATGTTTTCTAAACCTGAATCACAGAGTCCTGGTGTGGCGCTATAGGGATAAGCACCAGACTGCTAACCACAAGGTTGCTAGAGCCAGAACTGACTCAGCCTAAATAGACTACTTTGATAGATGGTCTGATAATAATGTTTACATTTACCTAGACTTTCAACTGTTGTTGTTGTTGTTAAGAGCCATCAAATTGGTTCTGACTCATAGTGATCCTGTATAGGGTTTCTGAAGAGCACTTAGTGGGTTTGAACTGCCAACCTTGTGGCTAGAAGCTCAGTGCTTATCCTACAGCACTATACCAGAATTTCAGACTTTCAACTATAGAAACCAGAAATAGAACTACTAAGAGTGAAAATAAGTTAAAAGTTATTCTAATTATACTCTAAGATGATTTTTAATATTTAGAAAGATTCTCAAATGTATCATTACCTTGATCTTTTGAGCAATATAGTCTCTTTAGTAACTCACTTCAGACAGACTTCCTTTGATTATTTTATTTTCATAAAGTATAATTAAAAGTAAATGATTTGCCAGGTGACTGCTTCTGGGCCCATCTTAGAAATTATTTTGAAAAATCATAAAATTTGAACTGATTTTTGGACTTAAGTGAGATATTGCTGTTGTGACCCTATTTGTCATTAACTTTCTTAAACAGGGAAATATTGGTCTCCATAGTCTTTGTGGCTTTTTGAAGGATCTCTAAGGCTGGTCCCATAGTCTTGATAATTTGCTCCAACTTATCTGCAGCTGACTTGGTGGGGTTCTTGGTATTCTCATCTTTTAGTGCCTCCTGCAACTTTTTCAAGGTATCTGGTGTGCTGGTTTCAAGAGGACCTGAACTTGTATTTTTGCCAGATGTGGTGGCATCTGTTTGCTCTTTCATGTTTTTCCCAGATGTAGTAGCATCTGACTGTTCTTTGGTGTCTTTCCTATAGAAGTCACTCAATCGAAGGTTCATGATGGGAGATTTCATCAAAAGTGTAATAGATGATACCAAAATCCCAAGGACATTTCCACGACTCAGGATAGAGACAATGAGTGGTACATGGGCATTTTTGAACACTTTTTTGGCTGACTGATGTAATTCCTTTACATTGGTACCCTGTTCAATCACAGAGGACATAACCTTAGCAATCTTTGAATATAAAGGCTCATTTTGCATATTCTTGTTCATTCCATCTACCACCGATTGCATCTCTGTAACAATTTTGAGCATTTGCTCAAAGAAATCCTTAACATTACTATCCTCCTTCACGGCCGTCAAGAGGATCTGGGTATTCATATTGCGGTTAAACAAGTCAACAAGTACATTAGTGACGGAAGCAAGATCTTGAATGTGAAAGAAGAATGTTTTGGCAGCTTGAGCCAGTCTTTCTTCATTCTCCTCTGGCTTTGAAGACATTCCTCCAATAAAGAAATTGCTGCACTGTAAAACAAAGCAGTAATCTGAATGAAAACTAAAAGCAGATTTGTCAATAATTGATTTGTCATAACTGAAAGTATATTCTAAACATGTGGGTTCCTTCTGTTAAGGACAAAAAAAGGACACAAGCTTGAATAAATAGAAAAGACTGTGAGTAGGGTTTCTTCCCATTTTATTCCTTTTTTTTTTCATTCTTCACTTCTTTTATTATGTTGTCTGTTACTTGGCTCGGGACACTGGAATATAATACAGAGAAGATTTTGACAAAGACAACTAAAAATAGAAAATAATAGAAGAAAAACCAGAGAGAAGAAGCAGGTTTAGAAAGCTTCAAGGAGCTCAAATATACATTACGAGTTTAAATCAAGATGATAACTGCTGCTTAAAACCACAAGGACACCCTACAGGCCTCTCATCTCATCCTTCTTGCAGGTCTTGTGTACGCAGACTTGCCATACTTCATTCTGGGTCTTACTTTTTCCAACATACTATAGCTGTGGGTTAATGCGCCAGACTGCAAAGCTGTTTGAACTGCAAGGTCGGCAGTTCAAGCTCACCAGCTGCTCCTTGGAAACCCTATACAGGGTCGCTATGGGTCGAAATCAACTTGATGGCACTTAACACCATAGTGCCAATGGAGTCCTGGTGTGGCATTGTGGGTTAATGTGCCAGACTACAAAGCCGTTTGAACTTCCTGGTTTGCAGTTCAAACTCACCAGCTGTTCCTCAGAAACCCTATACAGGGTCACTATGGGTCAGAATCGACTTGATGGCACTTAACAACAACAACAACAGAGCACCAATAATTTTCAATTACCAAATCTATTCACCTATTTCCAGCTCCTAATCATCTTGAGTTCTCTGTATTGCTTTAAATTGTTGAATAAGTCTTTCTGCTTGAAAAATGCATCTTCCTGAGGCCTCCATGCTCTTGTACAATTCTGATCCTCCTATAATCTCTCTTAGGGTTTATTTTCATTCATCTCAGGCTTCTCGTCTTCACACCACCACACAACTCTCTGCTCTCCTAAGCATTCCCAGGCTGTGCCCTTGGCCCTCATGGCATTCTACACTTTCTCTTTTGGAAATTTTATCTGTCCCCATCACTACAAATGCTTCCTGAACACAGATGGCTCCTATATCTCCATGTGTAGGCTGCACATCTCTCCTGAACTCCAGAGACAATTGGCCTTCCCATGTGAAAACTACCCGTACTATTCACACAATGTATTGCAAACTGAAGAACACTCATCTCTTCAGGCACCAAGATATGTTGATTCTTTGATTTGATTTCCACCTATCTCTTCCTTGGAGTCCTGGTGTGGCACTGTGGGTTAAGGCGCCTTACTGCAAAGCTGTTTGAACTGCAAGGTCGGTGTTTTAAGCTCACCAGCTGCTCCTCGGAAACCCTATACAGGGTTGCTATGGGTCAAAATCGACTCGATGGCACTTAACATCCCTTCTCTTGCATTCCCATAAATACTACTTTTGTATAAATAGACAGTACCTCTAACCTAGACAATTTTAATACTTTCACACTGATCTCCACACCTTTGGTCCAGGAATCACAAAAACTGGCAATCCACAAGGTGTATCTTCTTTTGGCCCACTACAATATATGTTCAAAATTTCTATCTATTGCCAATTTTTAAAGTTACAAATTAGAAATTAGGATTTCTATTTATTACTGGAAAAAAATAATAAGATTAGCTGATAACACTAAGCCTCTGCACCCAGTTGGAAAAAATACCTAAAGCTGGGGCTGCCCCCTCCTCTAGACTGGACATTCACCCTCTGTATGCTACTGTTTTACACTAAATGTTTTCATTCCACCACTCATCAGTCAGCTTGTTGTACTGTGGTGGCTTGTGTTTTGTTGTGATGCTAGAAGCTATGCCACCAGCAGGGTCACCCATGATGGACGGGTTTCAGTGGATCTTCTCGACTAAGACAAACTAGGAAAAAGGAGAGATAAACACTTCTGAATGACTAGTCACTGGAAACCCTATGAATAGCAGTGGAACATTGTCAGATATAATGCCAGATGATGAGCTCCTCAGGTTGGAAGGCATTTAAAATATGACTGGAGAAGAGTCGTGTCCTCAAAGTAGAGTTGACCTTAGTGATGTGGATGAAGTTAAGCTTTCAAGACTTTCATTTCCTGGTAGAGCACAACTAAAAATGAGAAGAAACGGCTATAAACATGCATTAATAATCAAATATGAAATGTATAAAGTATGACTATCTAGGAAAATTGGAGGTTGTCAAAAATGAAGTGGAGGGCATAGAGATCAATATCCTAGGCATTAGTGAGCTGAAATGGATTGGGATAGGCCATTTTGAATTAAATGGTGTCGAGTCCACTGTCTAAAAGAACATTTCAAGATCTATCTTGACACACAATGCTGTCTATGAAAGGATAATATCCATATACAAGGAATACACTATTATTCAATGTATGCAACAACCAGTGATGATGTAATTGAAGAATTCCTGATATGGCACTACAATATAAAACACTGGACTGTTCACTGAAAGATAGGCAATTCAAACCCACCAGCTGCTCCTTGAAAACACTATATAGGATCACTGTGAGTTGGAACAGACTTGACAACAACAACCAACTTCTTCAGCCTGAAGTTGATCAAACAGGCAATTTTGAAAAACAAATAATTACTGATAGTTGGACTATGAAAGGAAGAAACAAAGAGGAAGGATACATAGTTGTAAAATATACCTTTGGTGATAGGAACGATGCTGGAGAATGAATAATAGAATTTTGCAGGACTATTCATTGCAAATACATTTCTTTCAACAACATAAAAGGTGACTGTATACATGGACTTCACCAGATATAACACACGGGAATCAAATTGACTACATCTGTGAAAACAGACAATGGAGAAATTCAATTTCATCAGCCAAAACAAGGCCAGGGACAAACTTTGAAACAGACCATCAATTGCTCTTATACAAGTTCAGGCTGAAGCTGAAGTAAAGTAAAACAAGTCTAGGAAAGCCAAAATATGACCTTGAGTATATTGTTGTTGTTGTTAGGTGCCATCAAATTGGTTTTGACCAATGCACAACAGATCGAAATGCTGCCCAGTTCCACACCATACTCATAATTGTTATTATAATTAAGCCCATTGCTGTTGCTATTGTGCCAATCCATCTCACTAGGGGTCTTCCTCTTTTTCGATGACCCTCCATTTTACTGTTCCCTCCACTTTACTTTTTCCATGATCATCCACTTTAATGTTCCTTTCTGGGGACAGGTGCCTCCTGATAACATCCCATCTCAATCTAGAGATCATCTCAAGAACAGATTTGAAGCATTAGACACTAATAATCAAAGACCCAAACAGTGTGGGATGACATCAAGAACATCATACATAAAGAAAGCAAAAGGTCATTAAAATGACCAGTTGAAAAGGAAAGACAAGAGTGTCAGGAGAGATTCTGAAACTCATTCTTGAATATAAAGAAGCCAAAGCAATGGGAAGATGTAATGAAGTAAAAGAACTGAACAAAAACTTTCAAAGGTCACCTAGAGAAGACAAAGCCAAATATAATAATGAAATGTGCAAAGACTTGGAGTTAGAAATCCAAAAGGGAAGAGCACAGTCAACATTTCTCAAGCTGAAAGAACTGAAGAAAAAATTCAAGCCTAGGGTTGAACTATTGTAGGCAAAATATTGAACGATGGTTGAAGCATCAAAAGAAAATGGAAGGAACAGAGTCACTGTATCAAAAAGAACTGGTTGATGTTCAATCATTTCATTGATCAAAAACCAGTGGTACTCAAGAAGTCCAAGCAGAACCGAAGGCATAGGCAAAAACCAAGGCTTCAGAAATTGATGGAATACAAATTGATATGTTCCAAACCAATGCAGCCCTGTAGTTGCTCACTCAACTATGTCAAGAAATTTGGAAGACCAGTCAGCCAATTGGAAGAATTCTGTATCTGTGCCCATTCCAAAGAAAGGTGTCCCAACAGAATGTAGTAATCATTGAACAATATAATTAATATCACATGCAAGTAAAACTCTGCTGAAGGAAATTAAAAAACAGCTGCAGCTGAATCTCGAGAGGGAGCTGCCAGAAAATCAAGCCAGGTTCAGAGGAGGACTTGTGGAATGAGGGATATCATTGCTGACTTCACATGTATCTTGGCAGAAAGCAAAGAATACCATTAAGATGTTTGTTGTTGTTGTTAAGTGCCGTCAAGTCGGTTCCAACCCAAAGTGACCCTGCACAAGGTTTCCGAGGCTGTAAATCTTTACGGGAGTAGAAAGCTTCATCTTTCTCCCACGGAACAGCTGGTAGCTTTGAATTGCTGACCTTGTGGTTCGCAGCCCGATTCGTAACCACTACGCTTTGTGTTTTATTGACTATGCAAAGACATTCAACTGTGTAGATCATAACTATCCATAACATTGTGAAGAATGGATATTCCAGAACACTTCACTGTGCTCATGAGGAACCTGTATATAGACTAAGAGGCTATTGTTCGAACAGAACAAGGTGATAATTAATGGCTTAAAAATCAATAGAGGTGTCCATCAGGGTTGTATCCCTTCACCATACTTATTCAATCTGAATGCTGAGCAAAGAATCTAAGAAGCTAGATTATATGAAGTAGAACAAGGTATCAGGATTGGAGGAAATCTCATTAACGACCTAAGATATGCAGATGACAGAACTTTGCTTTCTGAGAGCAAGGAGGACTTGAAATATGTACCTGAGTATGGATTACACCTCACAACTAGACCAATAAATGACATCGTACTAAATGGAGAAAAGACTGAAGATGTCAAAGCCCTCATTTTGCTTAGATCCACAATCAATGCTCATGGAAACAGTAGTCAAGAGAGCATACGATGTATTGCATTAGGCAAATCTGCAAAAGAAACTCTTTAAAGTATACAAAAGCAAAGATGTCAGTTTGAGGAATAAGGTGTGCCTGTCCCAAATCA